GTTGGTCTTCTGTAAATTGTGGGGGATTGCCATTTCCATGACTGCCGGGGAAGCGTTTCATGACCTCATCATGATTTATACAAAAAGCTGGCCTTACGGGTTTGGAGAACGAACATCAAAACAAATGCGTTGAACAAATCTGATCGGAATACAGGTCGTTTACCCACGATTTCTGTGACGGTCGACTGCCGCAAACCAACGAGTCAGTGGGGTGGAACAACTGAGTAAAAACAGTGTGGAGGGATGAAACCTTGTCATCCCCGAGGATAAACGTTGGTGTTTGTTGCACTATTAGTCTCCATTACTCATTCAATATTGTTAGCTACTGCCCACCAATCAAAATTCCTACACATGGAAAACATCCAGCTCAACAGACCGGATAGATCCACACATCCTGTAACAGAGCCTTGTCCAAGGGACAGGGTAATCATTGGTGTTTATTCTTTGTCCCTTCAACCTTCAGCTTCCCATCCTCTTATTTATCGTTCCTATCCAAACATTTGCATTGCCCACCACCCACTGATAGTAATTCTTTTGAGTTACACGCCAGTGTTAGCAATGCATCTCCCACTGGTAGTGCATATGTTAATGGTAGTCGGCCATTCGCAAAGTTTCACCTGCCGTCGCACCAAACTATTCTTCACTCATCTTAGCGTACTACTGAACGGGAAAAGGCAAAGTACATTTACTTATGATGCCTAAACAAAGTGATTTCACCGCGAATATCAAGATATTCACAGTTCTTCGCTTGTCACAGAAGTCCTACAAGACTGTCACAATTAACAGTTTCGTTGCATGGCCTTTTCAACCTGTAAAACGTACACTTGGGCTGATTTAATAATTACAAAATCCAAACTTTGCATTGCAGGTTTTTACCATGCTGGTAACCCGAGAAATAAGCGACTGTTATGCCGCATTCATATATATATATGTATATATATATCTATATACGAACGATTAGGAAGGAAATTAACAATACCGAAACAATATACTGTGACATCCTTGTTTGGGGTTCTTGCACATTGGTCATTAGAGTCAGATAATATTCGCTTAGTATGGCTAGTATGGAGAGTTCCGCCATGCATTCACTCAGAGCTAGGTTGTTAAAGCAGAAGAGAAAGAAAAAAGGTGTACAAAATGATTTCTTCATAAAGCGTAGCTCTCCAATTCCTGCAATACTTCTCCGGATGACCAGAATGTTTCTTTGTTGCTTGTTATTGATCGCCTAAAGAAACTAGTAGGTACATACTGGTTCAGTTTGACCAATTTCTTGATTGTATTGTAATATTTGATGAAATAAGGTCAAACTCGGTTCACGCAATCGTTTTTCTTTTCAAGTAAGGTACGTTTTTAAGCTGAACGGAGCGGAAAATTAAGATAAATGATTGGCAATCTATCGCATCATCTGTGACCACAAAAGAAATAGTGTGACGGAACTTAGAGTTTGTTATTATGCGTAATATAAATGAATTCAGAAATGATAGCTACTATTCTTTGCAATAGACAATACCATGAACATTTTTATCTCATGCAGTTCCAAATAGTGATGATGATGATGATGATGATGATGATCACCATCAATATACTGACCAAGAACAAACAACATCCACAAATTTTAAATTTAATTTCATGCGCACAAACATTTTTGACAGTTAGTGAACAAAAAGGTAAAACGAAATAGAGGCAAGTCACTTGCGCCGGAGGAAATGTTCAAGCGAGTTGTCTAAATTAGATCGGCGGAGAATGCAAGGACAAAAAATACGCGGTGCGCAAATAATGGACTGTATGTGTGTGAGTGCGTGTGTGTGCGTTTGTATGCGTGTGTGTGTGCGTGCGTGCTGCACTTACGGGTGGATTGAAAATACAACAACAGATGCCATATGTTTAACTGAATCGATTGAATTTAATTTCCGGCTGAATGAACAACAACAAAAACATGAACCGCGCAGGATGAAACAAGTGAAGATTTATTGTACACTTTCGACAAATTTAGCAGCAAAACAATGGTTGCAACTAGTAATGAAAAAAGAGAATTTATTTCATCTCTTTAATTTGGGGACAATCGGTGCATCCGTGGCTTCACATGCTGTGTTCAGAAAACACCGTACCTCAATTGCAATGATTGTTTGCATGGTGTACACCGGTTGACAGTCGACTGGTTGTGGAGAAAACTTAAAAATAGAGAACGGTGACCCATGGTTTGAAGAATGAAAAGCCTTTCAAATTCTACGCTGGAACTAATCACGATTGTATGTGCCTCGTTTGTTCTCCTATATATGTATTAAACTAATGTGGGAAAGTAATTTCAAAGTTGATATTTCATCGAAAATTTCGCCTTTTGTTCCCATGCGTTTCTATATGATAATCTTCTGGTCTGGTTGAATTCCAATGAGAAAATTCGTTTGTCTCCGTTCTAATCAATACACTTCGAATACCAAAAAGCACGTTGCCTGATTCCGTTTGATAAAGTATCAAGACAGATGCGACTGACCTGTTTTATTCAATGTCATTACTTACAGTGAATGGCGATAAAACTAGATAAAATAATAGGATTTCGCATTCAATTTCACATGCACTTGATTTTATGAACTTTTTATGTTCAAGCGTCGGGTATATCCGACGTTAATTTTCAGCATATCTTAGTATATATCTCATGCATACTCAAATATAATCTTCTAGATTTCAAAGGGGATACAATAAGATTATTATCAACATTAAATGATAATCAATGTGTTATATAATAGGTGATTTCCACGATCGATAATAATAATCATAATTAGAATACCATTAAATGTAAGTGATTTTATTCAGGATCAGTCAAATTTCTAGATACGCAAGTTAATATATCTTTAACGTCACTAACACAGACATTGAATTCTAGTAGTGTACATATGTTTCTTCCAATGAAGAATTCTCGAATGTAATCTCAAGTTTTCCAAAAATCTATGTTTACACTTTGGAGCACATCTTGGGAATTTTCTTTCACAATGCTTGAACTAGGAGGAAATAAAAAAGAAGGTAAACAAAACACACGAATGAACAGTAGAATCAGTGTGATTGTCCACTTCAGACTATGAGACATCAGAAACGCTAATCTTTTGCGTGGGTCTCATCGCTTTACCACCGAGTTTGTCGTCTGCGAACCTGTTTGGATTAAATCGACCTCACCAACGAGATGTAATTTAAGTACTCCATTTCATCATTTCAGCCTCCAGTTTTGCTGTTGTGCAATATATTGAAGTTGTGAAGTCCTAATATTCACTGTTAACCGGTCTCGACAGACACACGAAAAATCTGCTCTATACTGTTTTTCAAACATTCATTGACACAAAATTCACCATTGGGATAACAAAGAACACGTTCAACATTTTTCACTTTGTTGAATCTCAAAGAAATTTATATTTAGATACAATGATTGACGGCAAACATAAACGAATATTGCAGAGTTCCCATCATTTTGAAAGTGATAATTACAATTTCAGCTCTACTCATATATATATTCTGGAATTAATATCAGAAGATTCAAAAATCGAAACCTATTTGGAAGCTGAGGAACGTATACCTACAAAGGTGCTCTGAATTTCACGGTAAACAGGGAAATCATGGGACCAATTGTTAATTTCTGAAGTATGTACTGAAGCTATGATGCCGATACTCAAAAAGACAAATATACCATGATTTTACTCAAAAGTTTGGCTCTGATATGTGGGTGACACGTTTGTGATTGCTAAATGATTGAAATCGGTAAGACCTATAAAGGCATCAAAACATTTTGAATGTCGTATTTACCATGAAAATAGAACAAAATGATCAATTCGTTTGCATTGATTTGTGATTATTTACGAAATGACAACTAAGTTGTTGCTGGCCAAGTGTTTCACGTCACTCTCACTGGAGCGCTTCGGACCCTAGGATTTGAAGTTTGAATTTCACAACTACAACTACCAAAGTTTGATGGTAGGCAGCTGCCATGTCGTCCGGTTCAATCCCACGTCGCCTAACCCAGTAGGGATTTAATGTGATCAACCACTCTTTGTTCCGGAATTTGGTGGCTGGTGGATTGTTTTAGTTTCTCACAACTCGGTTATTAGCCTTAACGGAAATCAAAGGGTAAATGGAATATACAATTGAAACTCAAGTTATTCACATTATTGAATGTATTGCCTGAAAAAAACATTACATCATTCCAAATGAAGAGAACAGTTGCAGCTCATTTCGATGAAAGCAAATGGGCTACCGAAAGATACGATGCGCTCTCATTCCTCCTAATTCACAAATATTTATAATAATAAAGTCATATATCTCAGATACCCACAAAATATGCACGAGAATATCTCCGAGTTTGGCATTCATCTGGCAACTCGGTCAGCTGTCGCACTGAGTAACTCAAATCTGCTGTTAGACGGATCGGCCAATGAACACAAAATGGATATTCTTATTTATTTTCCTTGTCTTTTCCTTTTATTGAATAAACATTGATACGATTTTCAGGAAGAGGGAAGCGACCAATCAAAAGTTTGCCCTACGGATATTGTCACATTAAAACAGGACAGCAGTGACTCCAGACTGATGGATAAACGATAAATCTTTAAACCAATTATATTAATTTTCTCTTTTATAGACAGAAAGTGAATTAAACGCCGTCAAACGGTGAAAATCACGTCCCTCCACACTACTCAGTGACAAATTATTATAATGAGAAAAGTACATCAAATGATGATGAAACGTTTCAATTCTAATTTCCAACGAAACACCAGGTATATTACCTCAGCAATACGAACAACAAACAGCATTGTGCAAAGAATGTCACCTCTATTTAGTGATAACAGCTCACTACATGAAATGTACACAAATTCTACTTAAATATGTGTATTTAAGGTAGAAGACTTAAGATGGAGTTTTTCTCAGCCCCAGACAGTACAAGCGGGACACGGTAACTTGAAAAGTTTCATTCAAAAAAAATTTTCACGATAATAAAAGACAATCGATACGTGACTCACTCTTGCTTTAACTGTAGGGGCAAAAAGTGCACGAATTCCGCCTGCTGAAAACCCATGTAGGTCATCATTGTCACGTGTTTTGTGTCCAACCCCGAGTTTTGCTGAGCCATAAGGTAGTGAGAATGCAACGTGCCTCTCCAACGTGTGTGATCGTATGCATCGAACAAGGCCGAATCTCTGCTCATCCCTAATGAGTCACGCTCCAGCACCGTCGAGTCGGATTTCAGGCTGGTATTGAGCATTCGCTGAACATACCTCAACCAACCCGAATTGTATGTGTTATCCAACAGTTGTGCGTATGCTCGATAAAAATTGGTTACACGATAGTCAAATGCTTGCTCAGTTTGGACACGATACTTGTCCAGCGATTGTCTTTGTTGAGCGAAATATTTATTGATCAACATATGTGATTCACTGATTCCATTCCCTAATTCTTCCGTTTGTCGTTGTTTACCACCCTCATCATAGTCATTTGCTTTGGCATCATAGTGCCATTTGTCTAACGTATCTTGAACCAGTTGACGCATTTCGCGTACAGCATCCGTGATTTCCACACCGACCGCATGCTGACAAGCGACTTTCATTCGATCCACATAGTCAAGCTGACGTCTGAGCTCTTGTTCCGCGAACGATTCTAGCCAGCGAGATTCGGCTTGCAATCGAAGAAGCGGACCAAGCATTCGTCTCCGCTGGAATACCAATTCGGAAGCATTAGGACGTGTTGCGGGTTGTAAACTAAAGATAAGGGATACAGCCACACTAAAAGTAAATAGGAAAGTATAAAATACACGAAATGCTAAGTGGGCGAACAGTAGAACACGGCGCACTGGAATTGCATTTGAACGGGATCTGGTCGAGTAAATAGCCCATGGCCTGGACTCTGTTGTCTGTAGTCGATGCCAGTTCGTGGAATTCAGTCGAATCACAGCAGGATTATACTGATTTGTCTCGTACTGACCCTCACCGTAGTACAAACCGTCGTCCGCGGCTGATCGGGAAGAATACAGTTGTTCGCCCCCCCGGTTGAACCGAAATGATTGCGGGGCCAGAGGAATCTTGTGAACTGTTACTGAATCACCCTGCTCCCCTCTGCTGACAACCCGTGCATGCACGGTATATTTACTGTCTGTGAAACTGAAGTGTCTTATCAAGGTATACACAAGACAAACTAACAAATATGTAGTTCCAACACAAGAAGAGATGATAAACAATGGAGCATAAGTGGCCCAACGTTGATTGTCCATGGTGGAGCCGCGAACAAGAGACATATCGTCGGCCATCTGAGAATGAAGTTGCAACCGCTTTCCACGACCGCGTTTGTTATCTTTGGAGCTCAATTGAAGCCCAAACGATCGACTGAATCCACAGTCGGTGATAGTCACGTGCAGAAACGGCTCTCCGGATGTAATTTGATCTTCCTCCAGTTGGGTTACAACGTCGATAAACGTGTAATTAAGCTCAAATTTCTCATATTTCTCACTGGTACGAAGAGTGAGCTCGGATGCATGCGCCGGGAAAATCACAAAATCGTGATGAGCCAGAAGTAGATCATCCGTACGACGTTTAACGTTCAAGTTGATGAATGCGGGTGTTCCTGTCACGTGACCTGGAAGACAATTATAAATAAATAAATATAAGTGCGAATCATTTTATGTATGCAGTGTTTAAAAATATCATTCAGACAAAACGTTGAAAAAAATGCCGTAGAAAGACCATTTGTCAGTGTAAATTCTAAAAGCCTTTAAATATATGTATATATACATGGCAAATGACAAAAAAAATACTGATAAATATTCTTTACAGTAGAGAAGTTAGTTCTTCTTCTCTCCACACATGGTCTTTCTATCTAAAAATCACCTAAATACAATCAAACATATCAATCGTTTGCTGATGGTACTGATAAAAAGAAATGAATTTGATGTGATACGGTTCCAGTATGCGCTCATAAAGTGAGATAAAAGACCAGTTCTTGGTGAAATCACGAGACCTGATTCCCCACGGCCAATTGAAAGCACAAAAGCAATCCCGGTGTCGGTGCTAGCAATGTGTTTGTTTTATTTCTTGTCGAACTGTATGACATTTAATGAATAGGGCAGTCTAATTAGCGACACAATCACAGTGCAGTCAACAGGTGATTACAATTGTACTTGTAACAGAGAATAAAACCATCAATGAGCATGAGTAATGAATCCATCTTCAACAGCACTTTTTATAGAAAATTTATATCCCCAGGAATTCGAAAATGTCCCTACACCAGACTGGACCGATAAAAATTATAATGGTTCCAAAGTGCACCTGCTTCCAATAAAAGTTGTTTATACTAATGAGATGATATATTTCACAGTATTGGTCAACTGATATAGAAGAACACATATGCACGTAGACGTTGAAACAATGACAGAATCAGACTCCCAAATTCAGGCGCCAGAAATCGGGCTGTTATTTTTCGGTATTATAACTTTTTCCGTTTCGAAAACCCTTGGGTCTGGTTGCCAGGGGTAACGGAAACGCTGTGTGGAGCTACGATCCGAACGGAGAGCGATACCGAAGCATACAATGAATGAACGAGGTAATGAGTGTTTCAGTAATTATTTTTCAAGTATGATAGCAGTTGAACGCTAGAGATCTAAAAGCGTTCTCAGCATGATAATATGGCTCCTAACAATAGCTTCTGAAGCACTTTGCGAGCAAAATATATGATGGAAACAAACCAACTACAGTTAATCTAGCTTTCAGGAATAGGAATAAAAGGTGGATGCATGAAGTGCACAATTGTTCTAAGTTGTAAACCTCCCCCGTCCTTCATATCAGAAGTACGTTTACGTTTGAAGGACATAGTTATAAAATGAGCAGTATAATACTGTATTGTTCAGTTTTAAGTTTGGCCACATTTATGATCAACTGTCTGCATTGCTAAATGGTATTACTGCTATCTTATCAAAATATGGTGACAATAATTATCTGTGGACTGTAGCTGAGCTGTCCCGTATGAGTACAGAATTTAAAATTACATATATATATATACGTTTTGACATTCCAAGGCACTGTGTTCATCAATGGACACGGCGATTATTTCAGTGGACATCTGAGAAGGAAAACTCTAAGTGCCTCTTCGATCTGCGTGATTAAAAACATTGAATGTTCACCTCATTTACCCATTACTGTCAGTTGCCAAATAGACAAACAATGAACAAACGTATTTATTCTATGAAAATAGATAAACCTCCTGAATAATCGAAGGTCGTATAACCAGTCCACAATTTTTGTATGTAACTAAATTTATCTTAATAACAGTAATGACCACGATGGTTTCAGTTCATGACGGAAGGTGATAATCGGCGTAATCCCAGTGCACTTCATGACAATAATCAAGTGAATCCGGTCACCCTAACTCCTCTGAACAGTGAGTGATCAGAGTTGATGGAAGTTGTCTTCCGAAATCCCGGGGGCGATACACCAGTTAAATCACTCACATGAAAGAAACAGCTCGCTCTTGCGAAACTGTTTGTGTCACTTGTATATCACTGTGTGGTCTGTTTCATTTACCATTTCAAGTTCAATTTGACAGACAGTCACTACCCCACCCCTTAGGTGACCACCTGTCTTCCCACGCTCTTTCTGTGTTGAACTAAGGCATACCTTTTTCGAGTTCCTTTGCAATTCTGAACGGATATCAGTTCGGCGGCTCGAAGAAGCCATGCAATTTGTGCAATCCAGCTAAGCTGCCCCCAATCCAATAAACGCTGTGCTTCCATGCAATATATATATATATATGTATGTATGTATGTATGTATGTATGTATGTATGTATGTATGTATGTATGTATGTCAGTGTATGTATGTATGTATGTATGTATGTATGTATGTATGTATGTATGTATGTATGTATGTCAGTATGTATGTATGTATGTATGTATGTATGTATGTATGTATGTATGTATGTATGTATGTATGTTTGTATGTATGTATGTATGTATGTATGCATGCATGCATGTATGTATGTATGTATGTATGCATGCATGCATGTATGTATGTATGTATGTATGTATGTATGTATGTATGTATGTATGTATATTTGTGAATGAAATATTGAAAAATATTGTTCTCTCCAAACAGTAGCGTGATGTGCATTTTCGAGATATTAAAATGATCTGAGATGTCTTATTTGCCTGAAGTTAGCCCTTATTCAGCTTCACGAGGGCTATTGTGTGGTACAATTGACGTTTCTGTGAATCGCTGAAAAATTGTTTATCACCTTTTAACTTCACGAGCACTGAAGATATCCCCTTGTTTGGTGATCAGCCGTTTGTAAACAGATGGACAATTTCCATTCTCAAACAAGGTAGACCAATGCATTTGTAAACAAAATCCTTTCCGGTGATTCGCGATCATACGAATATTGTGCACAATATATATATATAACTAATTGGGGAAATAACTTGAGTGAAAAATTGTTTTCGGTAAGGAAAACTTCACACCGTAGATGACGAAGCTTGATTTCACCCCACCATTGCGCTCAGACAAAATGTCCTAGTCAAATATTGTGCCTTTGCTCAATTATTTAGAATATTCATAGACATTTATATGCCCACAAGATGATAATTTGGGTTGTAGTTGATGAAGAAAGAATGTCAAACTATGACTTTCATTTCATGATCGCTGGGAAAAATCCAAATGTTTTGCTTAAGATTCCCATGCTTTAAATCGCATTATGTTTTGAGATGCCGAAATGAAGTAATAGCATATCTAAACAATTTCAGCAACAGCACATTTACTAGTCTGAATTCAGCATACGTTAGATAAAGTTATTTGTCAAGAAAGGTATTTTCCCTAACCTCGGTATGACACGAGTTCATGGAGCAAACCCGTCGGCTTGTCACTCACTGATGGAGTATATGCGTTTCAAATAAGAGCGACACATGGATACCTGAAATGGGACTTCAGTTCCACTAACTTAGATTCCACTTGGATAGAGTTACTTCACCGCTCCCCTACACACTAGTTTTGCCATTACCTTTGTCCGATCATGATGCAAGATGACTGAGGTCAAACCAACGTTGAATCTCGACAGAGGGAACCAATGTATCTGTGCACACAGACCGAACTGGGGGCGTCATCCTCCGACAGAATGACATTTAACATGACGTAAAGTATAGTCTTGTCGCCATCTTCTGTTCTTCTTTCAACGACCCAAACAAACTACTGGGCCATTCATTACTGAGAACATTGTGTGACCGGAAAAGGTCGCCTCTACAACAACAACTGCCCGGATGTCCTCTGATTTTTACGCGCCTCCGATGGGCTGTGTGTTTTGGTTTACCCATGTTAATTCTCTTAATGCTAGTGAGCCAAATCGTTTGAATCGGAGACTACATTCACTATTTGGTTAACACATTGTGACTGAGTTTGTTGAAAGTTTCATTTCGAAGTATCAATTTCACTCCTATGGAGGGAATGCGGTCATTGTTTTTGAATCTTACTATTGATTCTGATGAAAATGAACATGATTGAAATTTAGCTTTCATTGGAGATGAGTGATAAAATGGTGAAGCGGAGTAGACCAAAATCACAATAGACGGAAATACCATGAACAAACAATACAAAGGGGTTAATTTATTCAGTCATTTCTACCTGATTTGAACACCGAACCTGAAACCATTTAGTTTCATCGAAACGTGAATTCCCGATTCGCTGTTGCACGGTACATTCTTCATTGCCTGCACGAGTTTACCCCCTAAACTGTGCAAAAACCTCTTAAATTTATCCGATGTGAAAAGAAGCAGAGCCATAAACGTAAACGACTTACAAATGAAGAAATTCATTCTGCACAATTTATCCGGATACAATAAATAACAACATAATCTGAGACTGAAAATAAGTCTCGTGAGAAATTGCTCTCTTGACAGACTGTGAGGTGATCTGAATCAGCTGGTTGATCGGAAAGCAAATTCTTCAGAGAAGAGAATGAACAACAAAGTTCAATCACTTCTTTCGAACGTTAGAGTGATGATAAGTTGTTACTATTGGCATACTCGGTACTCAGTCACATTCACGCCAGGCTCATCAGCGAACATTTGCACAGAACCTGTGTAATCTTCCAATCCAAGTGGGCAAAGGGCTGACCGAGTGTTAGTCTGCAAGGAAACTCGCGCGAGCACTCACGCCAATACACACACATACCTCACCCATTCCGTCTCATCCGGGTGAGCGTCCGCGTTTGAATGCATCACTGAACAAGAGGAAGAACGGAATTTCACTGTCAAGTTTTGTTTATTTGCAAACCACTTGACGAACGGGACAGCTCATTTGCGTTGTCCGGTATAAACACGCACACCTATTCACAGTAAATCAGTAAATATTGCTCTCTCTCGCTCGCGGTCATTCGTTCACTGTCTGCTTTTCACGTATACACACACTGCCGCCTCCCTCGGTTCTCCATTGGCCTTCTGTTGGCTAGTTATTTACTGAGGTATCTCTAAGAAGTATCAAAAGTTTGCAGCCAGATATATTATTCGGACGATTTTTCTTTCATCCAGACTTTCGAATCACTGACTATTGCTACTACTNTAGCAATTTGCAGTCCAAAATCAAAGGAGTCTTGAATCTGATCTGTCTTATCATAGTCGAGGTATCAAATTCGGTTCCGTCCGACGCGTCATGTCGATACATGATTAGTCACCTAACACACAGTGTTTATGCCCCCATGAACCAATCATTATTGTGTCGGTTGACGCGCCCATCACAATAGTTAAGTACCGTCAAATTGTCTATACGGAATCTCACAC